GGGGTCCCCGCTCCCCGTTCCTGCAGGGGCCCAGCTGCAGAGATGCTGCAGGGGTTCACTTCCAGGGGTGGCGAGTATCCGTGTGCTGCCCAGAGCAGAGGAGGTCTCGCCTGCCCTCCTTGCTGGTTTGGTGCCTTTCTGGTTCCTCCCTTCTCCAAGTTACTGTCCCCAGGGCTGGGAGATCCCTCGTGTCCCACAGAGGAGGTTCTTTCCCCCCTGCACTCCCCACAGCAGCCCCACGTCCAGCTCCTGCAGCACTCACAGCCCCACCATTTTCCAGTTAAATTAAATTATCTTTTTTTTTTTTTCCCTGAGAAAAAAAAAAAATCAGCATTTATTTTCTCATTTTCATCACATGGGAAAGGCCTGGAAGAACCAGAAAGGAGCAGGACAGGAAGGTTCCTCTCGGAAATCTCAGCAGAAAAGAGGCTTTCTGCGAAGCAAGGGTTTTTTGGGAGGGAGGAGCAGGGCTGTGGGGCCGGGGGAAGGGAAGGAGGGGGCTCTGCTCCCCTCTCCTGCCCACCCCGACAGCCCCCCGCGCTGGATCTCCATGGATGGGGGTGTCTTCAGGAAGAGAAGCCCGGAGGTACCCGCAGACACGCTGCGGGGCAGAGCTGCCGGGGGCGGGAAGGCAGACCCCATCCCGCATTTCCTGCCCATTGTTCCCTGCCCCGCTGGCCCAGGACCTGCACCAGAAGAAAGAAAAAAAAAAATCCTCCCCCCACCCGCGGCTGAATGTGAAAATCAGACCCATCACACGAAGGAAGGGACAGCCCCGGGGCTGCTGCCTTGTCCCCAACGCCCCGGGAAGCCGCTGGGTTCAGGGAAACAGGAAGCCCCGAAATAGCTGAAGCTGGAAACACGTGGCCGGGGGAGCAGGGAGCACCCCGTGTCCCCTCCACAGCCCCTCAGCACCACTCTGTGACCAGTTTTTTGTGACCAGCCCGCTGCCCTTTGCCTCTTCTGCTGCTGTGGTTCCTCATCTCCCACCGACACCATCCCAGCAGATCCCAGTACAAACCAGTGGGTGCTCCAGGATGTGTCCCAGCCATGCTCTGGGCCACCCTGGGTCTGGCACCCAGCTTGGAGAGAGCACCCAGAGAGAGGTCCCTGCAGAAGGCATGGCCTTGTCCTGCTTCTAATGGCGAGCTCAGCCCTGTGCCCTCCTCGGGTGGGGACAAAACCAGAGGCCATCCTCAGAAAGGATCCAACCAGCTTCTTGGCCAGCCCCACACCATGGCCACGAAGGGATGGAGCTGCTGGTCCAGGGGGACAGAAGGACCTAGAGCCAGATCTGAGCTGCCCACGCAGAGGGCGAGTGGGAAAGGAGGGGATGCTCTGGACCACAGGAGGATGCTTCATCCACCTGAGACCTGCACGTGGTGGCTACCAGCCGTATCTACCCAGTATCGGCCTCCCAGCTGCTGACAGCCAGCACAGGGCTGGGCGCCGACAGACAAAAAGAAAAAAAAACCCAAATATCACAGCAAAATGGGAAAAGAGGTGAACTTTAAACGTGCCCTGCAGCAGTAGGACAGGAAAACTCACAGGACGCCTGGAGGAAAGGAGCGTGTGGCCGGGCATCCTGCTAACCAAACCGTAAAGAATTACAAGGAAAAAAAAACCCACAAAAGATATTTCAAGTGCAAAGACGGTTGTGTGAATAGAGTGCAAGCCCCCGGGTGCAGAAAGCTGGGGGTGATGGGGTGGAGGAGGGTTATTTGCAGGCTGAGCCCCCTGCGTGAATGCAGGCTCGGTGCCGAGGAACGGTGAGACAGGGCTGCACCCTCCTGGCATTAGTTTAATGAGTTTAATTATGAGGTTAATGCCAGCTAAGCCAGCAGGGAGCCCCGGCCCGGGTCAGCCGTGTCCCTCTGCTCTCCCTCCAGCTCGGCAATGTCACCCAGAGGGGTTTGGCTGGGATGGAAATCGGTCAGGGGCTGCCCAATGTTGCTGCTGGTGGGACCGTAGGAGGGCAGCTCCTAACGGAGGGGGGAAGGGCGGCAGGAGAAAGCCCAGAGAGATGGGACAACCGTTCCCTGCCATCATCCCGTCCCCCAGACGTGCACGGAACACCGCCGGCACGTGAGGCTCGTCCGTCCCCAGGGACCACCGACAGCCACCCCCCTCCCCGAGCCCAGCAGAACAATCCCGGGAAGTGACCCGGGGGGGACGAGGGGACAGGATGCAGCGCTGGCTGCCACCACCGGCATTGTCTCTTTGGATACCTGGGGGATGAAGTCAGAGCCCAGATGATGGAGGAGCACAGAGTGGGGGTTGAGAGGGAACAGCATCCAGGGGGAAAAAAAAGCATAAAATCCCTCTGATGGCAGGCACCCGCCTCCATCTCCACCTGGTGAAACCTCAGCGAGGACCTGGAGGAAGCTTCTCCTCATCCTCAGAGGAGGAATGGCCCCCACTCCACCATGAGCGATGCTGTGGAGCTCTCCTGTCCTCTGGGCAATGGGGGGGTCACACAGAGACTCCCTGGGGACTTTTTTAGGAGTTAGAAAAGAGCAGTTTCGCACTCCCACCCCACTGCTGGAAAAATAGGCTTTTAAGTCAGGATCTGAGAGGATCCTACTTCTCCTTTCCCGTAAACGTGGGGAGATCCCCCCAAAACACATGAGAGGGCTTGTGGGGAAGGAGCGGCAGCAGCAGATGACACCCCAGGTTAGGTTATCTCCCAGAATAGTCACAGCCTCTTGCATCAGCACGGTCTGGGCAGCCAGGGACTTCCTTCCCCCAGGGGACGTGGTTCCCTTCTGAGACATAACGTGGCACCAACGTCCCCAAGCGCACGCAGCCCCGGGCAGCACCACCTGAGTGTCCTCCTGGGTGCTGGAGGGGAAGATATTTCAAGTGCAAAGACGGTTGTGTGAATAGAGTGCAAGCCCCCGGGTGCAGAAAGCTGGGGGTGATGGGGTGGAGGAGGGTTATTTGCAGGCTGAGCCCCCTGCGTGAATGCAGGCTCGGTGCCGAGGAACGGTGAGACAGGGCTGCACCCTCCTGGCATTAGTTTAATGAGTTTAATTATGAGGTTAATGCCAGCTAAGCCAGCAGGGAGCCCCGGCCCGGGTCAGCCGTGTCCCTCTGCTCTCCCTCCAGCTCGGCAATGTCACCCAAAGGGGTTTGGCTGGGATGGAAATCGGTCAGGGGCTGCCCAATGTTGCTGCTGGTGGGACCGTAGGAGGGCAGCTCCTAACGGAGGGGGGAAGGGCGGCAGGAGAAAGCCCAGAGAGATGGGACAACCGTTCCCTGCCATCATCCCGTCCCCCAGACGTGCACGGAACACCGCCGGCACGTGAGGCTCGTCCGTCCCCAGGGACCACCGACAGCCACCCCCCTCCCCGAGCCCAGCAGAACAATCCCGGGAAGTGACCCGGGGGGGACGAGGGGACAGGATGCAGCGCTGGCTGCCACCACCGGCATTGTCTCTTTGGATACCTGGGGGATGAAGTCAGAGCCCAGATGATGGAGGAGCACAGAGTGGGGGTTGAGAGGGAACAGCATCCAGGGGGAAAAAAAAGCATAAAATCCCTCTGATGGCAGGCACCCGCCTCCATCTCCACCTGGTGAAACCTCAGCGAGGACCTGGAGGAAGCTTCTCCTCATCCTCAGAGGAGGAATGGCCCCCACTCCACCATGAGCGATGCTGTGGAGCTCTCCTGTCCTCTGGGCAATGGGGGGGTCACACAGAGACTCCCTGGGGACTTTTTTAGGAGTTAGAAAAGAGCAGTTTCGCACTCCCACCCCACTGCTGGAAAAATAGGCTTTTAAGTCAGGATCTGAGAGGATCCTACTTCTCCTTTCCCGTAAACGTGGGGAGATCCCCCCAAAACACATGAGAGGGCTTGTGGGGAAGGAGCGGCAGCAGCAGATGACACCCCAGGTTAGGTTATCTCCCAGAATAGTCACAGCCTCTTGCATCAGCACGGTCTGGGCAGCCAGGGACTTCCTTCCCCCAGGGGACGTGGTTCCCTTCTGAGACATAACGTGGCACCAACGTCCCCAAGCGCACGCAGCCCCGGGCAGCACCACCTGAGTGTCCTCCTGGGTGCTGGAGGGGAAACCACCACCTGGAGGTGGTGGAGCTCAGCCGTCCAGGGAGGACCAGGGAGCCATGGTTACATGGAGGTGAAGGAGAACCTTTGGTAGGACTACTGAGGTCCTGATCCAAATTTTCCCACAGATAGGCATCAAACCCCTCCTGCTACCGGGTGTTAAGCTCAACAAGAGCAATAGCTCTTGGTGTTTTGGTGGAGAAATACTTCACGTTCCTCAGGGCTGACCTGGTCAGCTGGGTGAGATGAAGGAAAGTCAGCCTATAATTTCTATAGGGGAACTCACGTGATTCTTTTTCCCCCCACAGAAGCTGAGGAAACCCCTCCAGGTGGGAGCAACTTCATTGAGGAACATCAAGCCTGGGCAGGCCAAGAGAGCATGTCCCACTCTGTCAGTGACCATGCACAGACAGAAGCCCTGGCATCTGCCCACAAGGCTTAAGGGATCCGTCCATCCAGCAAAAGGTCCCTCATCCCATCTTCCCGTGGAGGAAGAACACAGGGAGGCATAGGCAACATCTGCCCAGAGCTGGTCCCTATGGTGGTGGCACCAGGGCAGTTTCTGCTGTCCCTCTGGGCAAGGGAGGGAGGTGGCTGGTTGCCAGCCAGCCCCTGCGTGGCTACGGGCCACCTCTGCTAAATCTCTCCCCTCCGTGGTCCAACCCAACCGTTTGGGTCCCCAGGACAGCCTGCGAGCTGGTGTCACAGCTGGAGCTGGATGTCCCCAGCCTGGAACGGGGGTGTTTGCTGAAGACCCCGTGAAGAGAGCGTGGGGGACCCGCTGCTGGAGCGGCGCCGGCTCCGCCGGTAAATAACCCCGTGAGCTCCGGAAGAGCGGGGTGTGCAGCGGGGCTGGAGGGAGACGGTGCAGGCACGAGGCCCGTGCAGTTGCCTCGGCTGGGGTTAGCCACTTCCCGTCCCCGGTGGCCCCGCGCGCGCGGCTCACGCTTCTCAGAAAACAGGCAGAGACCGCAGGGCGCCGAGCGCACGGCTGGAAGCGCTGCCAGCCTTGCAGGTGGCCCCGTGCCTCCTCCAGCACGGCTGGGGCTGGGTTTCTCCTCCTCTGACCATGCCAGGTCGGGGGGCTACAGCCCCCTTTCTGCCCCCTCTGCTGCCTGGACCCCGACCAGCCTGGACCAGGATGCTGAGAGCTCCAGCATCCCCCCAGTCTCAGGGGCTGACCTCCCCCAGCTCCGTCAGCTCCCGGTGCCTCCAGAGGGGGGGTTCCCACCCCAGCAGGTCCAAAGGTCTCTCGAGGCTCTTTGTGGAGCCCCACACAATGTCCCACCTGGCCCCCAGCCCAGCCTCCCTCGAGCAGCGGGGGGCAGAGGGGCCCAGGGGAGGAACTGACGTCTCACAGGACGTGCTCGTTTGGTTAATTATTTTTGCAGCACCTCCACCTCACGTGCACCCAGGGACCATCCCCACTGACCTGCTCTCGTGTCTTCAGCCGCCCCGAGAGTGTAGCCAGGAGGCAGTGGTCACCCCAGGCTGCACACCAGCCCTTGGACCGCTGCCCCCCACCATGGGTTTGTGGATGCCATAGCCCCCATCTCAGTGCCACCCTGCCACCCAACCCCTGCCAAAGGTCCCCAAGGAAAAAAGTCCCCCACCCTGTCCTAGCAGAGGAGCTGATGGGCCCCTGCGTCCCAAGGGGTCTGTTTGCAGTGATGTGTGGGAGTCCATCCTGGGGGAGGGAATTAAGCTGAACATCACCACGGCCGCTGGTGGTGGTGCAGGCTGGGCAGAACAGTGCTGGCACCAGGTCCCAAGTCACCCCATCACCCACAAGTAGCTCCAGAGCTTTGGGGTGCCCAGTGCCAGCCCCACCATCCTCCCAGCACCAACCCAAGCAGCCGCTGACGGCTCTATCGTGGGGTGTGGGAGGTGCCACAAGCCCTGGAGAGGACCTTGCAAAGCATGGGACAGCCCAGCTCCGATCTGAAGAACTGGAGGAAACCCGGGGTGAAACCTCAACCCCTCTCCTGGCAACCACCACAACAAACAGTCCCCCTGGACCTTCAGCGAGTGTTACTTGCTGCCGGGGTGTATCAGCCGCAGCAGATTTGGGGCTCAGAAGTATTTATATCTGGAGCCACTCAGCAGCGTCTGTGGACACCACGTTGGTGGGGCTGGAAGGTCACGGCGTGGGATTCCCCAGCACCGAGCATCACCACAGCCCGGCCGGAGACTGCGTTGTGGGACGGGCTGGGGGTGGGCTGCAAAAAATCCCCTTCCCACCCAGGCTGGAACAGGCACTTGTGGTGCCCCCAGTCAGAAAGGGACCCGTGGGTGGAATAAACGCCGGAGTCAGAGCTAGACTCCGAGGGCGAAACTCCTGCGGGCAGTGAGTCAGAGGGGAAAAAACATCCCCAGTGACGCTGGGGTCGCTGCCATCACCAGTGTGCACGGCAGGGACAGTCCCCGCAGCCCCGGGGATGTGGGATGGGTGTCCCGGCAGAGTGGGGTGCTCTGGCCCCCGTGGCACAGCCGAGCGTCACCACCACCTCCCCCAGCATCACCACCACCCCCAGCCCCTCGCTCCACTCTCACCCCCATCTTCTGGCTGCCCCTCCACAGGGCTGGGGGTCCCCGTGGGAGGCAGATCAGCAACCACGTCACGCAGCGTGGGGGGAGTGACAGCGGAAAGTGTCCCCACGCGTGTCCTGCCCCACACAGGGCTCTGCTGGGGCTGCCCAGAAGCTGCCCCCCTGCCCTCCCTCCCCAGCGCTGGAGCTGGCAGCATTAACGCCCATTGAGCAGTGTCCTGCAGCAGCACTGAGCCCCAGCCCAGCAGATGAGATGACCAATATCCTCCTGAGCAGCACCCCGTGAACCGAGGGGCGAGGGAAGAAGCTAAAACCCCCTGGGTTCCTCAGGCAGTTGCGACAGAGGCGCACGTGGCCCCGCTCCACGCAGACATGGCAGGGACATCAACCCAGCAACGAGCAGAGCCCCACGTTCCTCCTCTCCCCTCAGCACCTCCGGGTCATCCCACTGCTCACGGGGCAGCTTCTGGGGAGGGGAAACCTCAGGGTGGAACCCTGTCCATCCATCCATCCCTCCCTCTGTCCATCCCTCCCTGCTGCCCTCCCTCTGTCCATCCACCCTCAGCGCTCTCCCTTTGTCCATCCCTCCCTCCTTCTGTCCATCCATCCCTCCTTCCGTCCATCCTTCTGTCCCCTCATTCCCGCTGCTGCTCCCTCTGTCCATCCACCCCCCATCCCTCCCTGCTGTCCCTCCTGTCCATCCGTCCCCCCTGCCCCTCCTTGTCCCCTCATCCCTCCATTCCTGCTGCCTTCCCTCTGTCCATCCCTCCCTGCTGCCCTCCCTCTGTCCATCCCCCCTCAGCGCTCTCCCTTTGTCCATCCCTCCCTCCTTCTGTCCATCCATCCATCCCTCCCTCTGTCCATCCCTCCCTGCTGCCCTCCCTCTGTCCATCCCCCCTCAGCGCTCTCCCTTTGTCCATCCCTCCCTCCTTCTGTCCATCCATCCATCCCTCCCTCTGTCCATCCCTCCCTGCTGCCCTCCCTCTGTCCATCCCCCCTCAGCGCTCTCCCTTTGTCCATCCCTCCCTCCTTCTGTCCATCCATCCATCCCTCCCTCTGTCCATCCCTCCCTGCTGCCCTCCCTCTGTCCATCCCCCCTCAGCGCTCTCCCTTTGTCCATCCCTCCCTCCTTCTGTCCATCCATCCCTCCTTCCATCCATCCTTCTGTCCACTCGTCCCCGCTGCTGCTCCCTCTGTCCATCCCTGCTGTCCCTCCTGTCCATCCATCCCCACTGCCCCTCCTTCTGTCCCTCTATCCCTCCATTCCTGCTGCCTTCCCTCTGTCCCTCCATCCCTCCCTCTGTCCGGGTCAGACACCAGCCGCAGGGAGCAGCCCAGCCCACCCCACACTCTGCCATATCCAGGAAGGACCTGGGGGTCCCCTCCCCACCTCCAGCCAGACAAAAGCTGCTGAATTTGCTTCCCC